GCAGAAAGAGAGTTTTTCTAAGAGGTTTCTTTAGTTCTCAATCATGAAAGAGAAAATGAAATTATTGAATTGTATTCAATTGAAGAAGAATTTACATACATACTACCTAATTCTTATGAATTATATACATACCAACTAATTCCTATATATTTACATCTTTAATACCTAAACTTTGATTTTTACATTTATACCACCCAAGCCTTTCATATATCACTTTAAAATATAACTATGTTAACTTTTAAAAGGTGAAGTACATAATTTGGTAAAGTGGCATATATATAAAAATTGGAGTTTATGTTAGATATGAAAATACATAAGAATTGAGAGGTATTTATGTATCTGACTTTGGGGTAGATATTCTGTGCGAACAGCGGACGCAAGTTGCGTCCGCTGTCCGATAAGAATTTTTTTTAAGAAAAAAAAATTTTAAATTGGGGCCCACTGACATACATTTTTGGTAGGAGGAGTATTTTGATTGATTCACTATACGCAGAACGGCGAACGTACGTAATAATTTTTCCTGAATTTGGAAAAGAAGAAGAATAAAATTGAAGTGAAAAATGCAATGATTTGCACTTAAAGTACTCCTTAAAAGGTCAAAAATGTAAATCATTAAAAGCCATTGGCTTTGCGGCATGCAAAATGGGAAATATATCAAGAGTTATTTTAATAAATGCTTAATATGATTGTTTAAGCAAAATAATGTAATTATATCTTAAACCTTATTTGGGATCATTTTCAAATTTTATTTTTAAAAACACTTAAAATAATTTTTAGGTACGATGCATATTTTTAAAAATGATTATATCTTAATTAAACATATCAAATATATTTTATTTTAAGAGAAAATATAAACAAAATAATAGAAAAAATTAAATAAATAAAAAATTATTAATTTAAATTGGTTTAATGCATGTGTTTGGAAGTTGTTTGGGGTTTAATTATGTTAATTATGTTGTGTTTATTTGCATTAATTCATATATTTAAAATTTAGAAGAAATGATGTCTAATTATGAGAATTTGCAATTTCTTTTTAAAATTTAATATTTAATTAATATGTAATATTAATATAAAATTAACGAGGGTTATGAATGTAAATTTACTTTAATTCATAAGTAAAGAGTCTCGATGGACAATGACTTTGATATCTGGCTAATCTTTTGTGCACTCTCTCTATGGATTATTAAATAGAAACATTGGTCTTATATTTAAATATATGATGTGTGGACAGAAGAAGTGTCATCTCCAATTAGCTAACAAATTGCAAGCTGAGTAAGCATCAAAATTTCAATGGAAATACACCTCATGGTATTCATATATATACGTTAATGGATGGTAAGTTGTTAGGCAGGTTCGTTGTCAGTCGTAAGTCCCCTCTGACCCAGATATAATCCCTACAGAGAAGGATAACACATATGAGAAGCGGTATTCTCAAATATCATCTTTATATATATATATATATATAAATTAAGCGTATGTATGTAAATAATTTCATAGCACATACCAATTAGTTTCCATCTTTCTCTTAAATAAATTGAAATATTTTCAAGAATAAAGGGAAAAAAGTACTCAAGGTTGTTTTTGTAAATAAATAACAAAAACTAAAAAACAATTTCCTAAAAATTTCACATTTATAATTCAATCCAAGTCTTTCTTCTCATTTATGTTTTTGGCCAAACATAACATCATGATTCATTAGTGCATGATTGTTCACCGAATGAATGGTGAGTCAATATCAACATCTTCCACATGACTGCCAAACTTCATTTATAATGTGTTTTATTATAGCTTTACTACCTCTCTATTTACTTCTTCTTCATACATTGTAGAGGTTACGTACCCGCATAAGGATCCAAAGAAAATATTAAAAAAGGCTAAATTATAGGATATGTTGTACGAAGCTTATGTAGACTCGTCCTTGATAGAATCCTTAGCATGGGCGTCAAGCGGCCATTGCATACATGATGATTGTACTAAAGTTCTCTTCTTTTTGTTTCAAAGAACTGTTCATCAGGCTCAGTGATTCAACCAGATGATTATCAACAAACTCGACCGAAGAATTCTAATGATACACACAAAGTTAGAAAAAGAAATCGTAAAATAATAGCCAGCTTGGATGGAGATCTCATGAATGTAAATGGGCTTCTGAGGCACTAGCCAGGTGCTTCTGGGTGGCAAAATAACTTCACAACTACGCGCCTTCAAAAGTACGACTAATGAGAATAATTGATATAATAGCAGAGATTGTTAAGTGTATAATTAGTGGTCATGTTCCTTAGTCCATGTGAGACTCATCTAATATCTAAGATTTTTTTGTTTCTTAACAAAACTTAGGGGTCTGTGTGGGGCAGTTGTATCTTATCAGCTTTAGCTTAGCTGCCCTAGGAAGCTGCTGCTGGGAAGCTGATAGGATGTTTGTTTCAGCTATTTGCAGCTGTTTTTGGACAAATAACTATCATGTCACTTTTTAGTAAAATTGTTCATAACAAAACTGTCATAATCATATATTTGATATTTCAGAAGTAGAAATTCACTTCAGAACAACACAAAAGTTTGGATACACACCTTACTTAACAATGAGTACCAATAGTGCAACAAAACAGTCAAAACCTATTAGAATTAAAATTAATATAATTATTAGATTGTTTTTAATATGCAGACGATGTATGTCCCATGCTACACTGTCCACCAGTATTGTTATCCATTCCCAATCACCATCTATCGTGGAATCATGAAGGGACTAGGGACGCATGAGGGTCTCGGACGTCAAACTTTGGGGAAGGCTTCGAACAGCAGGGGAGCGTCGAACAAAGCGGAAGACATCGAACATTAGAAGGACCAGGGTTTCAGACACCAAAAAATAGAGAAGCGACGAGGGTTTCGGGCTTTGAACGAGGATAGCTTCGTCGAACAGTAGAGGAGCGCACAAATTTCGGGCGTCGAACAACCGGGAAGGGAATTAGGGCAGGGCGTCGAACAAGGAGGGGTATCTGCGCGTAATAATGCTTGCTCAAACGTCGGTTGCGGGTTCCAATCCGCGACCGCATTTCACCAAAACCACGTCTCACCAAACAATATGGTCGCGATTCGCGGCCGCTCCTCGCTTCGGGTTCTTATTGTCGAACCAAACAGCCCTTATTTTGGATGTACAACAGCAACAACAAAAAAACATTTATCCCACTAAGTGAGGTTGTCTACATGAACCCCTTTTCTCCATTGCTTCCTATTTAGTGTCATATTTTCATTTAATCTTAATAAATTAAGAAATTTTTTTATACAATATGCCCAAGTCATCCTAGGACCACCTCTGCATTTCTTAACATAAGTCGAATCTAAAACATCTACTCTTCTAATCAGATCATCAGATGGTCGATGTTTAATGTGACCAAACCATTTAAGACGTCTCTCTCTAATTTTTTCCGTCACTAGAGCTAGACCATCTCTAAACGATGGTCGAAAACTAAAACTCGAACCCGAGCTTGGCTCGCTAATCCGAGCCCAACCTGAACTTTCGTGCTTATTCGGGTCATGTTTAGGTTTTCGGTTTCAACCTGAACACAACCCAAATAATAAGTGAGTTGAATTCTCTGACCTAAACCCGACTCGAAAACTATTCGGTTTAACTCTAACCCAGAATTTTTAAGTCGAGTTTGAGTCACGTAGCCTTATCGGGTCAATTTTTGACACCCCTACCCTAACCACACCCATCTATTTGTACGGATCATCTGCATGTAATATTTCTTTTCATAAAACGGAGTGTGTAATGAGTACACAACTATATATTCAACACATAAGCATACACCTATGCACTCATAATATCTCCCCTTTTTAAGTGTCAATTTGAGCCAGCTTTTACATTGTTTTATTTTTAAGACAACCAATATTGTTCTATTTACCTTTTTGACCTCAGATTTGTGTATCATTTAAGAAAATCAATGCTGATAATTATTTTTTTAATAATAATAATTATTAAAATCAAACATTTATGAAATTTTTTATCATACATTCAGAAGAAAAAATCCATAAGAAATTACAACATTTCAAACACATACACGGAAAAATATTATATCAGAACTCCTAACGTAGAGCTACGTTCAGAGTTCATTGATATGCAGACAAGTGACTTCAAGAAAACGCACGCTTTTTTCAGTGATCTGACTGGGTAACAAGGAGAATATTCCTCATGTGTTATTCCGCGTTATTTAGGTGTTATTGTGGTTGTATTGATGTATTATTGTGTTATTGGAATATTTCCGGTGTGAACACCGTGGATATTCTCAGAACACAACAAAACAAGAATATCACCACGATAACACCTGAATAATGCGGAATAACACGGGAGGAATATTCCCCCGCGCTAAAACAATTTTTTTTTTTAATTTTTCTGTCAACTCCACGTGCCCGCATATCAGTGGACTCCGAACGTAGTTCTACGTTAAGGGTCCTGACGTTATATTTTTCCTACATACACACCCCATTACAATCTTTATATATTTACATATCTAACTCCTAAACATTCATATTTACATCTTTAATATCATATCAAAAATATATTTCTGGTAGTGAAAACTTCCACCAAATTATTAATAAATATGAATTTTGTGGTATCTATGTAAATTTCTCTTTAAAAAATATATATTTTTCGAAATAAGAAAATCGTCATTTATTTACAAAACAGGAACCCATCCCTCACCTCACCGCCGGAGCTCCGCCCACCCTCCGCCGCCTCAAACGTGCGACACTTCCCCGGCACGTGTGCTCCACAAACCCTATGCATCAGCGCGCACCAACTCCTCCCCTGGCCCCGCCACTAAGTGAAAACCTCCACGTGGACCCCACCCCCCCACGCCAAATAAATATTCCGATTTTGGATAAATATAAAATGACGTAAATATGCACCCCCTTCCCCCAAAATTACAAAAACACCCTTCCAAAATCAATATAAATTACTCATGAGGCTCTTCTTCTATTTACTTGGGAGAAAGCATTGATTGCTCTTCTTCTCTCAAGTTCTCAAGTTGATAAGATGGAGCCCCAAATTGGACATGGAAAATGCAATCAAATTTTTCGGAGTTGCAAACCTTATCTAGCTATGATTTCACTTCAATTTGGCTACGCCGGCATGAACATCATCACTAAGCTCTCGCTCAATCATGGCATGAGTCACTACGTGTTAGTGGTTTATCGTCACGCATTCGCTGCTCTGTCGATCGCTCCCTTCGCACTGATTCTCGAGAGGTATTCTTAATCAAATGTTGCACAGCTTCATCTCTTTCACGAACAAAGTTAGTTATAGCGAGTATTAAGGTTATTAAATTTATGCTAGGATGAGCGCAATATATGAGAAATAAATCAAAACTTATATTATATTAATTTCAAAACTTATATAATATTAAAATTTATTATTTTTAATATTGCCACTAATAGTTGAGTAGCTCGATAGATCATTCACTTAGGAAAAATTATTCCCATAAATTAACAAATAATGATTCCTTTGAGCCCTTTTTTTTCCTATTTAATTAATATTTTGAAAAGCAATTTTTACTTGAATGAAAAACATGCTTAATGTTATTATTATTATTAAATTTTTTTTAGAGTTATAGGACCTTTCGATATGGGAGGAAACATACAATCATAGAGTCACCATCTCATTTGCTTAAAGTCGACGTTTTGAAAGTGTGCCTTTTTATTTGATATTGTTAGAATTTATACTAAGTTGAGCAGTGAATATTTTGATCTCGTTTGTGACAGCTTATTTGGTGTGAAAGCGCGCCCATGACCGTTTGGGTGAACTGCGTTTTGACAACTTATTCAAAAAACTGTGTTTTCAAACCACTGAAATCAGCATTTTCACACCGTTTCTGGCTAGATGCGGTGGCAGCTTTCTAGCTGCGATATGACTTTTTTTTTTAAAAAAATTGTAATTGCCATGATAACCTTTTGAACAACAGATTATTTTTTATCGGTTGCCTCAAATAGTTGATCATAAATCACCCCAAAAAAATGCAGAATCCTATTTTCATAAAAAATATATATCAATATGCTTTGAAAATATATTAAAGAGATTAATTTTGTGTCAAATTCTTTCTAATTATGCTTTCCAATGTGTTGCGTTTGCAGGAAAGTCAGGCCAAAAATCACCTTCACAATATTCCTACAAATATTTACTCTTGGCCTCTTAGGGTTTGTACAATAAATATATTCATCAATAATATAATTAAATCCCCCAAAAATCATTTTACTATTTACTAACCCTCGATTTAAAACATTGTCTGATCCTCATAAAGGCCTGTAATAGATCAGAACTTCTACTATGCCGGCTTGAAATTCACCTCCCCCACCTTCTCCTGCGCCATGAGCAACATGCTTCCTGCAATGACATTTATAATGGCCGTCATCTTCAGGTATCATATTATGATTTTCATAAATAATTCGTTTTTAGAACCCAAAATTCAAAATTTTGAATTTCTGAATCTTAAATTTTGAATTTTGAATAAGAATGGAGAAAATCGATCTGAGGAAGGTGATATATCAAGCAAAATTAATCGGAACTCTGGTCACTGTTGCGGGGGCGATGCTTATGACGCTCTATAAAGGTCCGATCGTGGAGCTATTCTGGACTAAGCACGTGCTCGCCGCTGCAAATGGGCCGCCTCCGGCGTCGGCGGGGGGGGC